AGCAGGGAAGGGGCTGTGACAAAGACCTGCCAGGCTCTCACTGCTGCTGCCCCGACTCCGGGCACCCCCAAACTTCCCCCTTGGACTTTTTATTTTTTCTTTTTCCTTTTTCTCCATCTTTTTTTTATTTTTTCCTCCAGTTTTATCTACAAAAGCAGTCTGTACCAGTCAGAACAGCGGGGCCACTTTGCCCAGGGGTGAGGAGCAGGCACCAAACTGTTCACTTCACTTTGGGCGTGTTTCCCTTTTTTTTTGATGTTTATTTTTCCTTTTTATGTTTTTTTCCCAATTTTTTTTTAACCCCAAAAAAAAAAAAGCCGACAACCCCAAGCCCTGTTTGGGTAGGGCTAGGGGCCAGGACGGCAGCAGGGCAGGTGGGAGGGCAGCACCATCTCCCCCACACCACTGCCCACCCCCATCCCCTTCTTCAGTAGGTGGCAGAAAATTTCATCCTTTTCTGCTTCTGTCTCTGATTGCAAAACCAGACCCGCACCACGTTCTTCTTCAAGTCTAACTTCTCGGCGATGGCGGCGATTTTCTCGGAGGAGGGCCGGGGCTGAACGGCGAAATAGGCCTCGAGCGAGCGCTTCTCGGGGGCGGCGATGGAGGTGCGCTTGCGCTTCTTGTCCSCCCCCGTGTAGATCTCGGGTTTGGTCATTTTCTCCCTTTGCGCCCTCTCTGCCTCCTCCAGCCATGCTTCCAGGATGGGCTTGAGGGCCACCATGTTGTTGTGGGACAAGGTGAGCGACTCGAACCTGCAGATGGTGCTTTGGCTAAGGCAGCCCACCCCCGGGATCTTCAGGTTGGCCAGSGCGGAGCCCACGTCCGCCTGGGTGACCCCCAGCTTGATCCTCCGCTGCTTGAAGCGCTCRGCGAAGGACTCGAGCTCCCGTGGGTCCGTCTCCGTCTCGGGGCCAGAGATGACGGCATGGGAAGCGAGGCCATGGGGGTGGGACATGTTCATGGGCTGCGAGTGGTGGGCCATGTGGTTGATGGCCGACATGTGGGAGTGAGGGTGCGAAGGCGTGGAGCCCACGTCGGGGCCCGGCACCCCTCCGAGAGGCAGGGCAGAGTTGAGGTGGTCCAGCAGCTCCCCGTCCAGGCCCTGCGAGGGCTGGTGGTGGTGGTGGTGGGGGTGGTGTGTGGTCAGCACGGACGGGTGGTGCAGGTGGACGGAGGACGAGGTAGGAGTGCAGGACACGCTGCTCATGGTGTGGTAGGTGGCATCCGGCTTGAACGGGTGGGTTTTCTGCGACACGATATCCACGGCGGCCAGAGCCTCGGCTCCCCGCAGCAGCGTCTCGTCAAAGCCCGCAAAGATGTTCCCCTGGATCTGCACCGAGGGCCGGCGGGGAGMAAAGCGGGAGCGGAAAGAAACCGGGAGAGAGGGAGAGGATTAAAGGGAGGCAGCATGACGGGATCCCGCTCTGCCCCGGCGGCGCCGCCGGGGACAGGTRACGCGAACCGAGAGCTACCCGCGCACCCCGGAGAGAGGCGTCAGGGTGCCAGACCCCGAGCGCTGTCCCTCCAAGTCGGGCACCCGCTCTGCCCTCCGGAGCGACGTCCCCGAAAGAGGAAGCAGCGGCAGAGAGGCCGGAGCCGTCGGGGGTCCCGCAGCCCCACTCCGCTCCAGCGCCGCACGGAGCGGGGCGGGACGGCTGAACCTTCCCGAGCGGGACCGATCCCCGCTCTCCCCGCTCTCCCCGCTCTCCCCGCTCTCCCCGGTTTCCCTAGACCCCTCCCCGCGGGAATAGTCCCTCACCCGCCGGGCCCAGCTCCCCGGGGGAAGGAGGAACGGAGGGACCCCCGAAAACCAAAGGAAACCCCAACCCAAGCGCAAACCAGAGTAAGTTGGCGAGGATCGGCGAGCACGGAACCTCCCGAGACCCATGGTGGGGGCTTACCTGGGGGGCGGGCAGGCAGGCTCTGCGGATGGCTTCCGAGCTGGTGTGCAGGTGGGGGTACTTGGGCTCGTGCAGGATGGGGTGCATGCTGAACGCCTGCTTGCTGTTCATGGACATCATGGTGGGAGCGGAGCGGGGCCGGCCGGGGCAGGGCACGGCGGGGCAGGGCAGGGCAGGGCAGGGTAGGGCAGGGCAGGGCAGGGC